GCGAGGCGTTGGCGTTGGGATGAATATGATATTAGCTGGTTCTGTTCGTCTAGCTACGGCAAGATATACACTCGCCTTGCAGGTTACTTTAGTGTTTTCAATCGGTTGATTTAAGTCTAGGGTGTAGTTAAGAATTAGACATATCTATCTATATAGCCAATAGAGGAGGTAGCTGATCGTGGTCTCCGATGCACGATATCAACATCGTTGCTAGGTATGGGAGATCCTCCTTTGTCTTCTTCTTCTTCTGCTTCTTCTTCTGAGTGATCTTTCTGTATTGTTAATTTGTTGATGAATGATGCTGCGGCCATGAACCGTAGAGATTTGGCTGAAGAGGAAGTCGTTGAGCCCTTGGATTAAGTCTCCCCTAAGGAGGAGAAGTCTACACTCATAATCGGTATAGACTTAACATAAGGATGCTACAACTATAGGAAACTAGAATATATTACAAGTTTCTATCACTATGGATATCCGCAGCGGAAGAAATTCCGAAATCCCGCTGTCTTCGCGTCCTCGGTTGTTGATGACTGAGTACTGACCAATCCCCTCATCATTATTCAATGGAGATGCAGATGGACTACAGCGACTGGACAAGGATGCAGATCCCTGCTGGCGTATGACAGGAACGTACACGGAATGCCACTGCGGAGGCAAGGAGGGGTCAGACATCTATAAAACGGTCGCATCTGTTGCACTTGTTATCACCCCTTATACCTATATCCACATCTATAACACACCTTATCTAAAGCGATTTCTGATGGCGCAGACCATTGTCATTGCCGTTCTCGCGGCGGTCTACTTTCTCATCCGCTACTTGAATCGCACGGATATCCCCAAGATCAAAGGCCTTCCTGAGATTCCCGGAGTGCCTGTCTTTGGCAATCTGCTACAGCTGGGCGACCGACATGCCACCGTCGCCGCCAAATGGGCCAAAAAGTACGGCCCTGTGTTCCAAGTGCGCATGGGGAACAAGGTCAGTGCACTGCAAGTCTGCACCTGTCGGCTAGTCCTTTACCTTGAGCGGGGTCTCTTGCTGACCGCGATTGCCAGCGTATCGTATTTGCCAACAGCTTCGAATCGGTGAAACAGCTGTGGATCAAAGACCAGTCCGCCCTCATCTCGCGGCCCACCTTCCACACCTTCCACAGCGTCGTGTCCAGCTCCCAGGGTTTTACGATTGGCACCTCGCCCTGGGATGAGTCTTGCAAGCGACGCCGAAAGGCCGCGGCCACTGCGCTGAATCGCCCCGCCGTGCACTCGTACATGCCCATCATCGACCTCGAAGCCACGGCCAGTATCAAGGAGCTGCTCAAGGACTGCCGCAACGGCGCCGTGGACATCAATCCCACGGCCTACTTTCAGCGGTTTGCGCTCAACACCAGTCTCACTCTCAACTATGGGTTCCGCATCGAAGGCAACGTCGACGATGCCCTGCTGCGCGAGATCGTCAACGTCGAGCGCGGCGTCTCCAACTTTCGCAGCACCAGCAACAACTGGCAGGACTATATCCCGCTGCTGCGCATCTTTCCCAAGACGAATCGCGAGGCCGAGGAATTCCGGGTGCGGCGCGACAAGTACCTGACGTTCTTGCTGGATATGCTCAAGGAACACATCGCCCAGGGCACCGACAAGCCCTGCATTACCGGCAACATTCTCAAAGATCCGGAAGCCAAGCTGAACGAGGGTAAGTAGCCTTATCATTTCGATGCCTTGCCTTACTGACCTTCTGGCTTACAGCTGAGGTGAAATCCATCTGCTTGACCATGGTGTCCGCCGGCCTAGATACCGTTCCTGGCAATCTGATCATGGGAATCGCCTACCTGGCCTCCGAAGACGGTCAGCGCATCCAGAAAAAGGCCTACGAGGAGATCATGAAGGTCTATCCCGACGGAGACGCGTGGGAAAAGTGCCTGGTCGAGGAGAAAGTGCCCTATGTCACGGCTCTCGTCAAGGAAACCCTAAGATATTGGACCGTCATCCCCATCTGCCTGCCCCGCGAGAGCACCAAGGACATTGTCTACAACGGTGCCACCATTCCTGCCGGAACGACCTTTTTCATGGTAAGTAGTCATCAACCTTGTTCAGCCAAATATTGACAGCATAGAACGCATATGCCGCCGACTATGACGAAGACCACTTCAAGATGCCCGACAGGTTCATTCCCGAGCGATACCTCGACGTCAGCGAAGGCTCAGGCACGCCTCACTACGGCTACGGCGCCGGATCGCGCATGTGCGCAGGCTCCCATCTGGCCAACCGGGAGCTGTACACGGCCTACATCCGCCTGATCACGGCCTTTACGATGCATCCGGCGCGAGATCCTGCTGACCGACCGATCCTGGATGCCATCGAGTGCAATGCGATTCCGACGGCGTTGACCACGGAGCCCAAGCCGTTCAAGGTGGGATTCAAGCCCCGGGATGCGTCGAAGCTGCAGCAATGGATTGCCGAGAGTGATGAGCGGACCAAGGAGTTGTAGTAGATATATACTTGAAGTATCTTGTTGTAAGCTATTATTACGACCGTCATTGCAATTCAGTAGTATCAACTAGTAAATTGTCCCAATATTCAATATCGATCAAAGTGCAGGAATATACATACCATCAGGCACGCAGGCACCGACACGAGGCACCAACACGAGGCACTAATTCCGCTGTCGGACGGAATCCCCGCGTTTCCCATCTGCATTCATTCCTACACAGTCACACTTGAATTCCTTCATTATTCCTATGCTACACATCGTACTCAAGAGATATGGACCATTCTCAAACCCCTCTAGTCCCAAGCACATGGCCAAATGCCCGGGACGAAAACTCCCGTCCCCGGAAACGACGGCGGAAATACATCACCAAAGCATGGTGAGCCTACCACCTGCGACAACAATATTAACTAACCGTGTCAGCAATGAATGCCAACGCCGCAAGATCAAATGCGACGGCCAATCACCCTGTCAACGCTGCGGCCGACAACAGATCGAATGCGTCTATGCGGAGAGGCCGCGACCCGACTCGAGTGACCAGCAGTATGTGATCCATTCATTCACTCGACATGCACACTGACAAAGCAGGAATATAACTCGTCTCATTGAGCAAATGTCCGCCATGCAGGAGCAGATCTCTGCGCTTTCCGCTGCGGTCTACGCACTCTCGCGCCCTGGCGCCTCACCGCAGGATCAGGGGCGGGCGTTCCGTCGACCTTCGTCAGCGAGGGAGTTGACCTTTCAGGGTCCTACGACCTCGGCTTTTAGTTTTGATCTAGCCAAGAGTAGTCTGCAGCGCCGGGGGATTGTCGATGGCGACGGGGACGGGGACGAAGCCGGCGAGGAAGGGGATGACGGGGATGTCACGCCGCTTGGGGATGGCACCCCGCTCGGGATGCTAAAGGACCCCCTCTGGACGATCAGCAAGGCCGAGGCAATCCGGCTGTGTGGGGTCTACGAGGAGGAGATGGGGATTATGTACCCCGTGCTGGAGCTGGAGGAGCTACTGCGGCAGGTGGAAGGTCTCTATGGGCTGTCTCCCCGACTTCCCCTGCGGTCTGGGGATTACGACGTGTATATCCTGCGATTGGTGTTTGCGTGTGCGCTGACGGCGGAGGCGAGCGGGCGCAGCGAGCTGGCCATGCGGTTGTTTGAGAGTGTGCGCGATGTGGCGGACGATTGTGTCTGGGGCGCGCCGGAGATCGACCGGATTATCGTTTTGACTTTGGTGGTGAGTCTCTCCCGTTACATGACGCGAAGATGCTAATGGTTAGGCGATTTTCTACTTTCAAATGGACGAAGAGGCACTGGCGTGGCGCACAATCGGCATCGTCGAGCGCATGTGCCTGGAAAAAGGCCTGCACCGGCGTGAGACGCTCAGCCATCCGACGGTGGTGGCGGCCGGCCGCGATCGAGTCCTGCGGCTGTTCTGGTCCATCTACACGCTGGACATGCGCTGGAGCTTCGGCACGGGGATGCCCTTTTCTCTCGAGGACAGCGACATCGACCCCTGGCTGCCCGAGCCCGAGGAAACGACCCCGTATCTGCGCGTGATGATCCGGTACAGTCGCATCGCGGCCAAGGTGTGGAAGTTTATCTCGGCCTTCAACAATACCGGCGAGATCAAAAAGGACGAGATGAACTACCTGGACTGGCAGGTGTTGCAATGGACAGCCGCCATCCCGGCGTCGTTGCGTTTGGGGGATGACAGCCCAGCCACGGAACCACGCAGCATCCGCCGGCTGCGCTCGCTACTGTACCTGCGAGCCAACCAGCTGCGCATGCTCATTCACCGGCCTGTCCTGCACTCGGCGGCCCATATCGTGCGGTATCCGGCTGAGTGTCAGACGGCCGTGGACCTGGCAAAGGACACGATCCGCTTCATCACGCGGCTGAACGAGACGTCGGACATTTACCAGCTGCAGCAGGTTGCCTTTAATTGGTTTCTAGTGTCCGCGCTGGCCGTGCTGTTCCTGGCTGTGGTTCAGGCGCCGAGCCAGTTCAGCAGCCGCTGCAAGGAGGAGTTTTACATGGCCCTGGAGCTGGTCAAGGGGTTCTCCACGCAGTCGTACATTTCCCGGCGACTGTGGAAATCGATCAAGAGCCTGCGTAAGCTCGGGCCGCAGGTTGGGCTTCGGCAGTCGGCTTCTGAGCGTGTCTTGACTGCTAATCAGACGGTGGATATGGCGCCGACCAGCAACCAGGGCCAGACGCCACAGGACGGGGTGCAGATGACGCAGGAGCTGATGGAGTGGTTTGAGGCCGTGGGGACGCTGGAGAATCAGATCATGGGAGTGACGCAGGTCTTTGACGATGGCGATGGCAACGGCAGGATGGCCAATGGGTATATGTATGATTATGGGGGCGATCTGTCGACTGTCATGCGAGATTTGTTTTGACTGAGCCCCCAGTATCAGATCATCTCATATGAAGACTGGCCGTTCTACAACTGAATGCGATACATCGACTGCTCGATGTACTGGCAGACGAAGCTCCTTTATCCTACGGGGTATATCTGCAGTTACATAGGCATAGCAATCCCAGCCTTCTCCCTCAACGCCTCCAGATCCCCCGCCGTCCAGTCCGTAATCAACATATTCCCCGGCTCATGCGCAAACACCAGCCCCTCGATCTTGTCGCCCGCCATCTCAACCGCCAACTGCGGCGTCACCCCACACGCCTACACCGTTAGCCCCCACCTCAATACGCCACAAGATGTAGGTGATACTTACCCAAAAAACAGGCACCTCGCCCTCCTCAAACACCTGCGCCTCACCCCAGTCCGGCACGTTAATATCACGAATCCCCAACCTCTCCGCCCCGTCCCACCCCCACGCAACCGGCTCGCCATGCGTCGCCCCATACGGCCTCGTCACCTCCCTCACCCGCTGCACATCAGCAGCCTTATACGGCCTCATCGAGACAACCATGCACGCCTCGCTGAACACCCCAGCAGGCATAAGCGGCACCCTGGTCCGATACATGGCGACCACGCGGCCGGTAATCTGATGCCGCGGCACCAACCCGGCCTCGCACAGCGCATCCTCGAAACTAAACGAGCAGCCGAGCAGGAACCCCACGTGGTCGGGCGTGTATACACCCTTCAGGTCCTTTGTGCTGGCGATGTGGCGGCCCGCGCGGTAGACGCGGTACTGGGGGAAGTCGGTGCGGAGGTCGAAATCCGGGTTGGTGATGCAGGCGGCTGGGGAGACGGTGTGCGGGTTTCCGGCTGGAATGATGCCTAGTAGAGGGCAGGGGACGGGGTTGCGGAGGCAGAGGGCGTGGAAGTCGGGGGCGTAGCGGGAGGGGAGGACGAGGAGGTTGGCTTGTAGGGAGCCCGGGGCGAGGCCGGAGGTGTTGGTTATGAGGTTTTGGCGGGCGAGGAGGCGGATGGTGTAGCTGCTGCTGTCGCTTTTGGTGTCGATTGTGTCACTTTTTGTGGTGATGATGTTGCTGGCGGTGGTGGTGATGCTGCCCATTTTGCTCAGTTGATAGGTATGGTTACGAACCTACGAACACGAGATGGAGTGGATGTACGTAGAGAGTGGATGCACCCCAGATATCTACTATCAATATCATATGGAGTGTGTCTATCTACAGCATCGGCGGTACCTGCTCAGGATACCCCAGATATCGGCATGTGGGCTCCGAGATAGGCTTCCTGGCTATCAGGATTCAGGATTCAAGCCGATAGCCACGGATTGAATTGCCGCCATTAACCTTGCCTAATGCTTTGACCCCAATTCTCCAATAGCCACAGACTAAAGTGTCTCCATCCCCATGCTGCCCCACTGTTATCACCTCAATAGCTTGTTTCGTCGGCCCGATGAGGGGATGATCGGCCGAAGGAGATGATTGGCATGGCAGTTTTCATTACGGAAGATAACCCATTGCCATATTGCCTATCAGATTCCGGGGTAATGCTATCATTTACCGATCTGCTACTTTAAATGAGCCCGTTATAAGAGCAGTGCCAGTGCATCCAGACTTGGTCGTCTATACTCCATAGTCAGACGAAATGGCCACCGATCCAGTAGACCACAAACCCTCCCTCCAGGAACCCCTGGATGACGACAATGCCCAAGACCAAGACATCGACCAGGGCATCGCCATCGAAAATGTCGTCCTCGACCCAAAAAAGGAGCGCAAACTCCTCCTCAAACTCGACCTCGCCTTTGTCCCCATCATCATGCTAACCTACCTCTCCTGCTTCCTCGACCGAACCAACATCGGTACATCCTCTTCCAGCCACCCTGCTGTCTAACCTGGCTACTGAGTACTGACACGAGATAGGAAACGTCAAAGTAGCAGGCATGCCCGAAGCCATCGGCGCCTCGCCCAGCCAATTCTCCACCGCCGTCTCCATCTTCTACGTGACCTACGTGCTCCTCGAGGCACCCTGGGCGGTGCTGATGAAGAAGCTCACCCCACGCAATATCCTCACGGGGCTGTGCATCGTCTGGTCCATCACGACCGTCTTCACGGGGTTCGTGACGAACGTCCCCGCGCTCTACGCTACCCGGCTCATCCTCGGCGCCTGCGAGGCAGGCCTCTTCCCTTGCCTCAATTTGTATCTGACGATGGTCTACCGCCGCGAGGAGCAGGCAAAGCGCGTCTCGTATCTCATGAGCTGCGCCGCCATCTCGGGCGCGTTTGGCGGGTTGCTTGCGTATGGACTTTTGCATATGGATGGCATTGGGGGGAAGGCTGGGTGGAGGTACCTCTCCTTCACTTCACCTGAAACAAAATGCTAACGAATGAAGATGGGTCTACATAATCGAAGGCCTCTTCAGCCTCATCTGCGCATTCCTCATCTGGTTCGGCCTCCCCAACGACCCAGCCAACGCCTACTTCCTCACCCCCGACGAGAAGCACATGATGCGCGTGCGCAACGAGCAGCGCCGCGCCTACATGGGCAGCGACGAGTTCTCCTGGGCCGAGATGCGGATCGCCGTCTCCGACCCCAAACTCGCCTTTAGCGCCGTCACGCAATTCTGCCAGGATATTTTGCTGTACGGGTTCAGCACCTTCCTCCCCACCATCCTCAAGGGGACCGGGTACGATTCGCTCATGAGCAATATCCTCACCGTGCCGGTGTACTTGTGGGCAGCGATTGTGTTTGTGAGTGTCGCGTGGGCGGCGGATCGATACAGCCGCTTTGCGCTGTTCCTGCTGGTTACCAATGTCTTCGGGCTGGTCGGGTATATCCTCCTCCTGGCGGTTTCGAATAACGCAGTCAAGTACTTCGCGACGTACCTGATCGGGATAGCGACCTACACCGGGGTCGGGCTGAACATCGCCTGGCTGAATGTCAATGTGGCGCCGCACTACCGCCGCGCGCTGGAGATCGGCCTCCAGCAGACGATTGGGAACCTGGCGGGGATTGTCTCGGGGCAGATCTACCGGACGGCGCCGTATGTGCTTGGGAATTCGTTCTCGCTGGGGGCGCTGGTCGTGGCCCAGGGGGTGATTCTGGGGCATGCGGTGTATTTGCGACGGGAGAATGGGCTGAAGCGGGAGATTGAGGCGGGGGAGAAGGAGGATACGAGGGCTGTGAGGACGGGGGATAAGGAGTTGGATTTTGTGTATCATTATTAATCTGCGAAGCGAAGCGTAGCATTGCTTACAGTATACTGGTTGCACTTGCGGGATGGGAGTATACAAGACCTAGGTAGTTTGACTCGTATATATACATTTCTGCCCATGATTTTCAGTATCAGATACCACTTACTAGTGGTCTGGACACTTTACCTCAGTGGTATGAGTATATGACAGAATGTGATAACTAATTCGGTGCATGTATGATATGAAATGGTTGATAGACGCGACCGTGTACTCATATTCATATACATACATGCAGAAGCTACGTCCGATCATGCCCCAGACTCAGACTCTCATACTTTCTCAACATATCACGCACCCCCGAGGCCGCATAATTCCTCATCCTCATGCCATCCACCGCCGCCACATCCCTCCCCTCGCCCTCCCCCAACTTATCCAGCCCATCCTCATAGTCATCCCATTTATCCGGCTTCTGCGAGCGCGGATACCGCCCAAACAGCTCCTTGATTTCCTCCGGCGCCTGGTCCGACTCCAGCACGCGCGCCTCCTGGTCGTGCGCCCTTACCGACTGCCGGAAGATATGGAACAGATTGCGACCCACCTGCGACCGGCACGCGATGACCGAGAACGCACTGGTGAGGGACAGAAAGTCGCTGTCGAGGATATCGAACGCCGCGTGGTCGAGCATCGTGAACAGCGCGACCATGATCGCGTACGTGGTGAACGGGTGCGTGCGGCCGATGCCGTATTCCTCGCGGTGGATGCGCACCAGGGCGGCGATGGCGCGTGCGGACGCGAGACTCTGCTCGGTTGCTTTGTCGCGGAGGTGAGGCGGGAGCTGGCTGGAGGGGGGCACGGTGGTCTGTGTTTTGCCTTCTTGCTCGGAGAAGAAGGTGTGGACGCCGAAGCCGTCGCGCGAGAGGCTGATCATGATGGCGTGGTAGCGCATCCTGCGTTCATATCGTCAGTCAATAGGCCAAGCCAAGGGAAAGGGGGGAGGCAACCTCAGTAAGAGGATGTGGGCCGGGGGTTTGCTGGCTGGATCGAAAAAGTCCGGGAGCTGGCCTTCCCAGTCCTGGAGCTTGTCGTAAAAGTCCTTCTTTCGCTCGTGCTGGGTGGCGTCGGGTTGGGGGTCTTGATACAGATGGTGGGAGATGTCCCTCGCGATGAAGGACAGTCGGCACGCTTCGTCAAAGTATTGGCTTAGGAAGGACGGCCGAGGCGGTCTGCCTGTCGGATAAGGAACCCATAGCTCGCTGGGTTGGCTTTCGTCGCGGTCGATGCGCTTGACGCACACGTGGTGGATTTTGCTCGGTTTTCGAAAGTTGGTATGCACGACGCTATGCAGTCAGCAGGAGCAGACGAGCGGAGCAGAGTACAAGGACCTACGTGTCGACCTGGAATAACCCCCAGGCGGTTCGTTTGATCGAAGACCGCATCTCCTCGGACATTTGCAGCTTGTCCAGGTCGAGATCCGGGCCGTTGATGATGCCAAGCGTCTCGGCCATTTCGATGGCGCGGTGCAACATGGTATATCCCAGGTCGTCGTCGCCAGACATGGAATACCTGCACTGTCAATACGTGGCAAACGTGGCAATGGTTTGGGGCAGGCACCTACCTTTCATACAGAAGCAGTGTCGCCTGCAGAGACGCAAGTTGGACATTTGTTCCTCGTTCGAGCTGGTAGCTATGCATGTGTCGTTCGGCTTCGGCGAGGAAATCACTCCCCTTGGTTTTCACATCGCCCGGTATCGCATATGCCTCGGAGTATTGTGAATAATGCTGTTGCTGTCAGCAGCTCGACACAACACTACACTAAACGAAAAACATACGCATGCATTGGCGAGCATGGCATTGACCAAAAACGGACTGCACAAGTCCGAGTTGGTATTCCTGTCCTGCATATGCTGGACAAACGCCTTCATATCGACAAACGCGTAGAAGGGATAATCCCAGGTGAAGTACAACGATATCAGATGCGACACCAGCGCGTCGTCATCCGTCACCGTCGTCCACGGCTTCGCAGGCACCTTGTACGGCGCCCCGTCGCACAGATAATGGATATCCATGACCTGGGGCCGGAACGCCGGCTCGCCGCTCTCGATGCGCACCCGCATCCGCATATCCTGCAGCCGCTGGACCGTCTCCCCGTCGCGGCCGGCATCCTGCACATCCTTCCAGGTCTTGTCGACGAAGTGTTTCATTTCCTCCAGCGAGCAGTCGGAGCGGATCATCCCCAGCAGCGTCTGCACGTGTGCGTCGTCCACCAGGCGCATCACATTGAGCAGATCCCTAAGGATCTCCCGGTCGTAGCTGGGGTCCTCCATGATCAGCTTCGCCGCGACGTCGTCCACGTCGTCCTCATCGCCCGGGTTCAGATCCATGGATGCGTCTGGCCGGTCTAGCCCGGTGCAGCTGGTGCAGGGGGCCAGCTCCATGCTCTGCTTGTGGGAGATGGTTAGCGCATCGCTTCTGCCCATCCCATCTCTGACGCAGTTTACCTGCCTTACTCGTGATTCCATCGTTCTTGCTCTGGTCCTCGCTCTCGTTCTCGTTCAGGGTGTGGCTCTCGTTGTTGCCGTTATTGTTGGGGGACATGGTGGGTAAGCCCTGGGCACATCGCCCACTGTCTAGAACACTCTCTGTAAGGTTAAGCTGAAGATCAATCTAAAGATGGAGGCTCTGGGGACGAGGCACGGATCTCGACAGAATCTTCTCTTCCCAGGGAAAGGAACCAGTTGGTGCTGTGGTTCGGCGTATGATGCGCAATGACGTCACGGCACTCTCTTGTTATTATCCCTTTACCTCTGTCTCTCTACTGCTTACATGCCGTCGATCTTGGAAATCGTCTTCGGTAACTCTGGAATGGGTCGATTGGTAATCCGGATAGAGCCTGACTTGTGGGAGATCAGCCGCATGATGTACAGAGGACAGTCATTACCTGTTAAGGTTCATCTCAACGACAGAAACCGATATCTACGCAGTCAGAATCTTGATATACCTTGAATCAGACTGTGGAGTAAGTAAGATATTATATCGCATCTTCTAGCAGTGGTCTCTAGTTATATGTGAGTTCGGTATGCTGGAAGCTGGATGTACGCCACGGCGGATGGACACGGACAAACATTATCTTGTCAATACGTCACGAGACAACAAGGGGGACATTACAAGAGTATGTCGCATTGAATATACACAAAAACTAACCGATTACTTCTCTTTATTCTTCAACAATCCCCTCAACGCCTCCGTCTCCCCCTCGAGCTTCGACACCCGCATCTTCAACTCGTCCCGCTCCCGCTTCACCTTCTCCAGTTCCGCCTCAAGCTCGTTCATCCGGTCCACCCGTCGTTGGCGGTATCTCCGCGCCGCAAGGGTATTCAGCTGACGCTTCGAGACCCGATTCGGGGTCTCCTTGGGCGGGTTGTCCTTGGAGGTCGACGCCGCAGTAATGGACACGGGCGGGGGTCTCGAGGCGGGCATGAGCAGAGGTAGTTGGCCGTGACTGATTTGTGTGTCTGCTAATATCAGTATGATTCTGGTTCCAGTCAGAACTAATGATGAATACCTGAATCTGTGGCCGAGGAATCAATGTCCAAAAAAGGCAGAGAGTCGTTCACATCAACAGGAGTCGAAATCGCAGTCAAGCCAAACGAATCGGGCGCATACGGCGAACTGGAAGTCTCCGTTGGTAGACTTGCATAGTCCAGATCACCGAAGCCAGCGAGGTCGGGGGGTAAAGGTAAAAAGGCAGATGGGTCGGTGTCGTAGAATGACAAGGGCGGGTCGGGAGCAAACGAGGCAAGATCGAGATTGGTATCCGGAAAGACAAAGTTTGGAGAACAAAACGCTGGGTTACTATCGTAGAACTCAAAGGGGGAAAACTGATGATGCGGTGGGAGATGTCCAGGATGGGAATTATGCGAGTTGCTGAGGCTGGAAGAAGACGGGGCCGGTCTGGCGGGCCACCTGCGCGGATATGGCAGTGGCCGACATTGTTCTATACTTTAGGCCGGGTCTGTGACCCGGCGGGTTTTTAGAGAATTAAAGAAAAGGGCGCCTGGATCGTCGAGAGCGACGATGATGGATGAGAAGGAGAAAGGGTAAAAGTAAGCGGGGGGATGGCGCTTTATAAGTTGCAGATGCACCAAGTCTGCGGGTGGGGCGCAGTCTTAATTAATATTGGTCATCCAGCCTACAGAAAGTCTAAAGATAGAGATAGTTAATATTGAGTGATTATTGACCATTCACGTTCATTCCTCCTACTCCGTCCTCCCTAAGCTCGTTAAACAGGTGGCCTTGATATAGAACAGTCAGTGGCAGGTCATTGTAAGTCTCAACGACAGGCAGAACAAGAAGAATCAAGTCAGAAGATGTCGACTCATCTTTGAAGATGTCTTCCATCATGCATCTTCAAGAGCTTCAGAATGCCACGCATATCAGCTCAGAGGGTATAATCATTCTTGGTTGCAAGCAATATATTGGGACAGTGGATGACTTACCAGAAACTATCTATCCACTTAGTCTTCCATCGGAAGCACGCTGTCCAATGCTCCAGCTCTACTTCTACTACTCTGACAGCTATTCTTTATATGTCATTATCTGTATGTCTTATTACAATTATCATCTACGCTCATGATGAGTCGAAATGACCAGCATTATCAGACACTATTTTATTCTGTCTCTCAGGCTCCAATATATCAACATCATTCTGTATCATCCTCACTCACCTGTGTACTGTGTACTGTGTATACCTGTCAAATGTCCAACAAATGACTATGATATTGATTGGCCAATTCCTAATTGCCGGAAACGGTTAGTCTTTGAATTCACAAGTGCCAAGAAATGAGCCAAAATGACTCATGTTGACTCACATTTTGATTGGCTGAGCTTTTTGATCTAGACGCCAGTGCGGGGCAGATCCCGCCTCTTCTTACTGTTTCCTAATCAGGAATCAGGCATTGCTTCAGTACCCTGAGCAGGCTGTGCAGCACTGTAGCTTCAGGTATGCATAGCTAGCAATGTATTAGCACAATCATTGCAACTAGATGCTGTGCCCTGAAATAAACAAAGTGAGTGAGAAGGGTACTTCGCCATAAGCGGCCTGCACGAAAATGCTGCAAAACCACTGTGGTCTTCAATACACGCCCACCTACAATTCGCTCCTTGATTATTCCTTCTTTGGGACTAGCATTTGTGCTGTTTTGGTTAGTTTCTACTAACACTGCTCCTGGCTTGCATATCTTCTTTCTTTCTGCTTTCTCCTGTTGGCTCCTTCTAGATCTATACGGTTAGCTATTACTGCGACGCACTTCCCGACCTGAGCTCGCCGCCTGGACACCGGCTCACCTACTGATTACCCGGACGTCTCTTACACTGCTACCCGAGACCTTGCTGTCCCCCCAACACTGGTCGTACGGCCCTAGATGACGGCGGAGGGATACCAATAACACGGCTAGACGCGGTGGATAACACCGTGTCAACGCCTCATGCAGATTTGCCGACTCTAGAACGACGATCTCATAGAGTGCGAAAGACATCTTACGCTGATGTACTCTCTCAATCTAAATAACACCAATCGACACCTGGTTCTCTCCTTCCTCCTTTTTATTTCATCACTTCAGAGCATCCGCGTACGGCAGCGCGCGTCACCAGTGTTCCCTCTCAAGCTTGCTCCATTTACTGCTCTACTGCACTTATCTTACTTTAATGCACTATGCTGACATGCCAACCCCTCGGAAATAGCTGGTGCTGTTTGGCGGACTGTTCCGGGAATATGAATTTAATAAAATTCAACTCAAAAGCAATGGTATTACAAAAAGGTAGGGTAATGTGAATAAACATTACGTATCCCCTGCTGCTTGGCCTTTTCATAAGGGTGTTGATTGGATGTATATTCGATCTGAATTATGGTTATCTTTTCAGGGTACCAAAGTTAGCATATGTTGCTAGTTTCGGCACTAGACTTTGGTTATCTATGAATAATGAGCTTCAGGCACGACGACTACACCTTAGCATGGATCTGCGCCTTGCCCCTGGAGATGGCGGCCGCAAAGACCATGCTGGATAAAGTCCATCCTTCACTGTTTCAGCCAAAAACCGACCACAATGCCTACACACTTGGGAATATTGCCGGTCACAATGTGGTAGTGGCCTGTCTCCCGTCCGATGTTTACGGAACCACATCTGCGGCAATCGTGCTCGCTCACATGTTGCCGACTTTTCCTTCTCTTCGATTTGGGTTGATGGTAGGAATCGGGGGCGGGGTGCCCAGCCAAGACACAGATATTCGCCTTGGTGATGTGGTCGTTAGCATACCAACTGCGACCTCTGGAGGCGTGATCCAATATGACTATGGGAAGACACTTCGAGACGGACGTTTGCAGCGCACTGGGTCACTTAACAAGCCCCCACAATACCTGCTCACCGCAGTCTCGCAAATACGCAGTGATTACATGGTCAGAGACTCACTCATCAAGAAAAGTATATCAGAGACAGTTCAGAAGCACCAAAGGATGCACGAACAATTCTCACGACCAGACCAAGACTGGCTGTTCAAACCGGACTATGGTCATGAGAGCAAGAGCGCTGACTGTTCACTGTGTGATCAGTCCCAGCTAGTAGTCCGTACAACACGAGAAACCAATGAGCCGGTCATTCATTATGGGCAGATTGCTTCTGGGAATCAAGTGATGAAGAACGCTAAGATACGAGACGACATTGCCAAAGAGTTGGGCATTCTCTGCTTTGAAATGGAGGCAGCCGGGTTGGTGGATCAGTTACCTTGCCTGGTTATCCGAGGAATTTGTGACTATTGTGACTCGCATAAACATAAGCAATGGCAGGGATATGCAGCGCTTACTGCAGCTGCTTATGCACGAGCTCTGCTGGAAGTGGTTCCTCTGTCTAGCAATGATCTGAGCAGGGAAAAAAGAAGCCGCTGGATGGTCCCCTTCGCGAGAAATCCACGGTTTGTTGGCCGACAGAATGAGATTGACAGTCTTGAACAATCTATTATTCACTCAAGAGGTCCCACCAAGTCTGCTATATGTGGACTAGGTGGAATTGGGAAAACTCAGATTGCACTGGAGCTAGCCTATCGCGCAAGAGAAACAGTTCCAGGAATTTCGATTTTCTGGATCCCATGCACCAGCTATGAGAATATCGAACAAGCTTATCTGAGCATTGCCTCAAGCTTAGGAATGATGGATATAAAGCCAGCAGAGGTAAAAGAACAAGTCAAAACCTTCCTCAGCCAAGAACACGCTGGAAAGTGGCTTCTTATTTTCGACAATGCTGATGATATCGAGATGTGGACTAAGGGAAGCAAGACTACGCCGCCGCTCAAGGACATTCTTCCCCAGAATGAAGATGGTCATATCCTGTTTACGTCGCGTAACCGAAAGCTCGCGGTGAAGTTGGCGTCACAGGAGGTGTTATCCATTCCTGAGGTGGATCCAAACACGGCCAAAGAGATATTCGACAAATTACTCATACAAAAGGGTTTGCTACAGGACGATTGTGCCACTACTGCACTCCTTGAGCAGCTTGGCTTTCTGCCCCTTGCAATCAGTCAAGCTGCAGCTTATATTAACGAAAACCAGATTTCGTTATCTGAGTATCGGTCATTGTTAGGTGAGCAAGAGAGAAGCACAATTGAAATGCTAAGCGAGGAATTCGAGGACGATGGACGCTATGCTGAGATTCAGAACCCAGTGGCGATGACCTGGTGGATATCTTTCCTGCAGATCCAGCGACTGGATGAATTAGCAGCTGACTATTTGTCATTCATGGCCTGTATTGACCCACGAGATATCCCGCGGTCAATCCTTCCACCTGCAGCTTCACCAAAAAAACAAGCAGAGGCAATAGGTCTTCTGAAGGCGTATTCCTTTATTACTGCACAGGTCTGCGACAGTCTATTTAGTCTTCATCGACTTGTGCATCTTGCGACTCGAAATTGGATGCGAATAGACAAGACTCTTGATATTTGGGCAGAAAGAGCAGCAGGCCAGTTAGATGATGTCTTTCCTGATGATGACCATGGCAATCGAAAAATATGGAGGGACTACCTACCACATGCGCTCTATTTGGCAAACAGTGAAGAATTCCAAAGTTGTCGGCATGAGTATTATGGATTTCTTTTAAGGATAGGAGGGTGTCTGCAGAGGGATGGAAGATATAATGAGGCTCAAATTTTCTTCACTGATGTTCTGGAAATCATGGAGACAGCTCTTGGACCTGAGCATCCTGACACTCTCCTCAGCGTTAACGACCTTGGTTCAGTGCTCAACGATCAGGGCAAGTATGAAGAGGCTGAAGCCATGCATCGGCGAGCACTAGAAGGTCTAGAAAAGGCTCTAGGGCCAGAGCATCCTGACACTCTTGCGATGGCTAATAACCTTGGCTCAGCGCTTGCACAACAGGGCAGGTATAAAGAGGCTGAAGCCATGTATCAGCGAGCAGTAGAAGGTCAAGAGAAAGCTCTAGGACCAGAGCATCCTGACACTCTCGCAATGGTTAGTAACCTTGGTTCGGTGCTTTCACAACAGGGCAGGTATGAAGAGGTTGAAGCCATGCATCGCCGAGTGCTAGAAGGCCGACAGAAAGTTCTAGGACCAGAGCATCCTGACACACTCGCCAGCATCAGCCAACTCGGTACGGTTCTTGCATGGGAGGGCAAGTATGATAAGGCTGAAGCCATGCATCGGCGAGCGCTAGAAGGTCGACAGAAAGTTCTAGGACCGGAGCATCCTGACACTCTCGCCAGTGTCAGCCATCTTGGTTCGGTGCTTGCATGGGAGGGCAAGTATGATGAGGCTAAAGCCATGCATCAGCGAGCACTAGAAGGTCGACAGAAAGCTCTAGGACAAGACCATCCCAAGACTCTCGCCAGCGTCAGCCACCTCGGTTCGGTGCTTGCACGGGAGGGCAAGTGAAGAGCTAAAGCCAGGCGCTGGAAGGTCAAGAGAAGTTCTAGGACCTGAGTGCCCCAACATGAATAATCTGGCTCACGCCTGGACATGCCAGATATGAGGATGCGTTGGCTTTGATGACAGACTATTAGGAATTGATCTGCCAGATGCTTAATCCTCATCACAGTCCCTTGACATGTGGAAGAAACACTATATTTCATTACTAATAACTTCAAGACTTTGTACAGAGAGGAATATGATCAAATTCAAGAACTTATGACAGAATGCTCAACGTGACAGATAAGAAACGCATTGCTTTGCATCGAGAATGATTGACAGCTCCTATCAAGAGTTGAAGGCAGATCATCCACTCTGAGCCCTTGTAGCTTCCAGGACCACCTCATCTGCATCACGCGGCCGTGACATAACAGAAGTTGATTGAGGGGACAATAGGCGTTAAGAAATAGTCTGGGGCTATCCACCAAGCATGGGATCCAATAGTGGTACTCTTGCCTTAATTTATATTGCCAAATATATGAGATCGACTATTCCTGGCCTACAGAGATCTACACATTGGCGACCTGCTTGACGAGTCAGCGTAGTCAGCCCTCTCTTCTGGTGACTAAATGTAACTATCGCAATAAACCATGGCTCTATTCCTTTTCTGGTCGTTTCAGGGGGTCAACGTGCGACAGCAAGCATAGAGTTATGCATGGAACTGCGGTCGTTTTTCTCAGACGAAGCACTTTCATTAAATATCAACTTGAATATCATACCCCTCAATTCCCCCCCTTGAGTATCTTCCTGACCGAGCCAAATCGGTGGTGTTTCACCCCTTTGTTTCCTTTCTCTCTATCCAGACCACGCACCCGCCTGAGCATCCCCAGCACACTGGCTACAATCATCGCCTCGGACTTGGGGTCTGTGCATGGCGGTAGCAGAAGCACACCTTCACTATGCGATACAGACATCGACACGCCCAGTCCGATGTGGTGGTAGATTGCACGCACGTCGGCCTCGGGCTCAGTGCTGCTCTCACCCGTGGTCTCCTCGCCCGGCATGCGAACCAGGGTATATCGCAGCGGCCCATGCTCGACTGGACGGACCTGCCACTCGAACTGGGCCATCCTCGACTCAAAAGGCATCCGGAAATGAAAGTACGGATGCTTGACCTTGCCGACTTTGGTCTCTGAGGGCGGAATGGGGTAGGAGACGCCGACTGCAACTGGGTCGATTGGCTGTGCACTGTCACTGTGTACTTTGATCGAGCAAGCTTCTTCATCGGCATTGCCGATTGTCCTGAGAGAAATTAGCGATTTGCGTATTTGACTTCGAAGAGAAAGCATACAGCTCCACCTCGGCGTTCTCCGTCACTGCTGAGTCCGGTTGGACACGATACTCCACCGTCCCGACGGTCTTGTCCTTGTCGCCTGCGGTGAAGTTGACGATATACGCCACAGGGACGTGATCCGTGCCGTCGCCCTGGGGCCGCTTCATCATCCCCAGGGAAATAGTGTATTTGCTAGATCCCATGGGCGCATCGCCAATCGCCTCAACGTACTGGGAACTAACATCGTATAACGGCAGATGCGAGGTCGTCCCGTCATGGCGGGGAATATACAAGACTCTGGACAAATGCTCGGGGGTTGTGGACAGCTGGCGGCCGAGACTAGCCGCGACGGATCTCCAGTTGCTCCGGTTCAGTTGCTTTTGAGATGCGTAGGCCGCCCAGCTGGAAGGGTCCTCCATTTTGTTAATTCGATGGTTGACAGAGTTGTGTGTTGTTGCAGGCTTGACTTATATCTACTCTGTAGCTCTTGTTTATCTGTCACGGCACTGCCATGTGGTCATAAGAAAAGGCGGGGCGCAGGAAACAAGGCTATTGGCAATACGCGATCCCCTTAGGCTCAGCCTCCGCGGGCAAAGGGCTAGTCTAATTGCCCGAGATTCTGTCATGGCAGAAGTTGCCGATTGGTGATTTAATCGACAAGCTTACCTCTTCGAGTGTACGCAAGCGATGGTTGTCCGGCCTGGGGAGTAGGGCTCTGTTAGACCAATGGCTGCGCCTACAAAGTCTGATTGTCATTCCTCAAAAGGCTTGGAGATTCGATAAACTGCTGAGAGACAGCATCACCGCATGGTAGTAATTAGACTGGCTGTGGGGTGGATATGGGTTGATCCATAAGGGGTTCAACCCAACCTATATGGGTTTGGGGAAACCCATGACCTTAGTTATCCACCTTCTAATCTATATAGGTTAGATTATAGGTAATCTCTTTTACCTATAAGTAGTATATAATTTTAAATTATATTACTTCTAGTAGGTAGAATAATCTCCTATTAAGAGAATATTATAGATACTATAGATAAACTATAATCTAAAAACTTATTAATCTTATTATTAATATATATTAATAACCTATTAACTCCTATACTACTATACTATAATTACTACTATATTAATTTCTACTACTATACTAAATATTAGGGCTTCTTAGTATAAATCCTATTATTATTAATATAATCTAAAAGGTATTTACTTTATATATAAAAATTTTATTATAATATATAATTTAATTATTATACTATAATCTCTTATTAAGAGATTATTATATATAAGCTACTTAGGAGTTATAAACTTATAAATTATAAATATAATTATATAAGCTAGTAGATTTATATTTCTCTAAATATTAAGGCCTAGTAGTATAGGGTAAAAATAAGAGAATCTATATTTTATTAAAAACTAAGTAATTTAGTATTAAATATATATACTTTTCTTAGTAAATCTATTATTTATATAAATAATATAGTTCTCTATAGTATTTTATAGCCTAGATAATACCTAAATATCCCTAAGAACTTAATAAATAGGATATATCTAGCCTATTTATAGAGATATACTAAGGGATAGAAAAAATAAACTACTCTCTATACTTCTATAATAATAATAATTAGTTTAGTAGTATAAGCTTAATTTTTACTATTTAAAATATTTATATTTAATTTACTAATAACTTCTTTTTATCTATTTATTTAATAAAAAATAATTTTTAATTTAATATTCTACCTAAATAATATAATTAATATACCTTAAAAGAAGAAAATATTATACTATATAAGGATAGCTTCTCTTTAGATTATATAAATTCTAGATAATATATAGATAAAAATATTATATTTTACTATTATTAAGAGATAATAAAGATATATATAAATAATATATATAAATAGCCTAATAATATAATACCTTTATAAACTAGAGCTATTCTAAATTAAAATAATATAAACTAATAAAGACTATATTAAGAATCTCTTAATAAAAGATCTAAATTACTTAATATATTTTATATAAAGAATATAGTATACTTAGTATATAAAATATTTATAGTAGTATCTAATAATAATATTTATATAAAACTTTTAATAAGAGAATACTTACTAAATAACTATATTATATTATAATTATATAATTTATTAAATATTAAACTTTCTTTATTTATTCACCTATTATCCTATTTAAATTAATTAAGTATAATATAAAGAAAAGCTAATTTTATTTAAGAATATTTACTATTAAATACTACTAATAGGAAGATTATATAATAGTAATATTAAATTATTAATAAGAATACTTCTTAGCCTTATAGAATCTTATCTTCTTTATATTCTTTAATTTTATAAAATTATAATTTTTTTAATCTCTTAATTAATTATAGTATTTAATTATTATATTCCTCTTTTTCTTATTACTAAGTTCTCTTATTACTAGAATCTTATTTAATCTCTTATTAAGAGAATTAAATTATTAATATACTATCTAAGAAGAAGAAGAGAAAGGGAAAGACTATTATATAGATATTAGATCTATTAGTTTTAAAAGTAAAGATTAGTAAAGATAAGATTATAAAAAAGTTAGATAAGTACTTCTTAGGTATAATTATTTTTAATATTTACTATCTAAACCTAGTCTAAAAGAATGGCAGTAATAGGAGTCTAAACTAGAAATATATAAAGTATCTAAAGAAAGAGTTTATAATTAATATCTATAGATATATAATTAAGAATAGACTATAGATAATACTAAGTAAAAATAATTTTAATATCTATCTAAAGTAGATTTTCTAATAATATAATAATAATAAAGATCTAATAGCTATAGAGCTTAAGAACCTATAGAAGTAATCTAAATTATAGATTATAAAACTTTTAAAGATTAAATATAAAGTCCTTAATATATCTTTACTAATTTTATAGACTAAATAGTATTACTAAGAGGCCCTCCTTAATCTATACTATAATATTATTAATATAGCCCTCTAGGGTAATATTAATTAGAATAAGAACTTTATTAAAGTATTAGATAGTAGAGTAAATAATCTCTTAATAAGAGATTTTAGATTAAGTTAAAGCTAACTTAAGATAGGAATTTTTATAGACTTATAATATTTAGAATAAAGATTCTCTTAATAAAGGCTACCTCCAGAGACTCTAGATAAATAGAGAGATTATATATAAAATAAATATTAATAATAAATTAATATATATTATTATTAATATTATTAATAGTCTCCCCTCTAATTATAAAGTATATAAACTCTAACTAAAGTTCTTTAAAAAATAGGCTAGTCTTATTTTTAGTATTAATAAAGAAAATATATCTTAGCTACTATCTCTTCTTTAGTATTTAAAATTTTATAAATAAATAAAATTTTATATAAGTATCTATTATAGCTAGTATTATACTAATCTAGATTACTTAGAAATACTAATATCTCTAAAGCTTAATTTTATAAATAAGAGTTAAAGATTTTATTAGTAAATATTAATTCTTTTAATATTAAATTTATTTTTTCTTCTTTAATTAGTTTTAAAGGCACTACCTTACTATCTTTAGTAATATAACTATATTAGTAAGTCTTAAAGATTAGGATAGAGTTATTAAAGTAGAGAAAAAAATATATAAATTATATTAAATAATACTATTCTACCTCTTAAAGGATAATTTTACTAGTAGAAATCTTCCTAACTTTCTAAAACTATTAAAGAATATTAGTAATAACTTAGCTATATAGCTAAAGTTATAGATACTAGTTAAAATTAATTACTACTTATATATCTACTAATATTTAGGATTTTTAATAGCACTAGATAAGAATAAATATAATATAATATACTATAGATATATTAAAGATTTACTCTTCTTTAATAAATAGTAAATCTTTTATTATTAGTTTCTGAAACATACTTATAAAGATATAGATTAATACTAGTTAAGTAGAATAAGATTAATAAGGTTATAAAGAAGATTTTAATTTATATAATATTTTAGATTAATAAGTCTTTTATATTTCTAGTAGAAGTATCTAATATATTTAAGATATTTATATAGAATATAAATATTATAAAGAATTAGTTCTAGAACTCTATCCTAGTGCCTAATTATATCTATCTATTTAATAATAAAGTAGATCTACTTAAATATACTTAGAAACTTATATATTAACTATAGAGGGCAGTGGATTCAGATCCTTTTTAGTAAAATCTAGATATAGTATTAATAAAAAGAATATCTCTTATTACTAGATTATAATTAATTATTATAATAGATTAAAGATAAGATTTCTATAACTTTAAAAAAGATAAAATTAGAAGCCCCTATTATTACTACTTAGAGTATTAAGAAGGATTTTAAAAAAAGACTATAATAATATAAGAATAATAAAATTATATATCTCTAGTAATTCTACTATTATAATTAGATATATATTATAAATATTTTTATTAAATTTATAGATCCTTATTTTAATAGGATTATAGCTTAATTTAATAATAAGTTAATATAGGTATAGTAATTAAATCTTCTAATAAGAGATTTAGATTAATATTTTCTAGGATAAAGAGATTAAAGCTATAGATAAAAGTAACTAAAGATATTTAATTATAAAATTAAATTTTAAGAATAATAATATACTTAAGAGAACTCCTATCTTATATAATAAAGATATTAAAGATATCTTTATATAGGAGGGTGAAGTCTTTAGTATATTAATATATTATTATATACTTAAGAAAGTAATAATTAATACTCTAGATAAAGATACTACTATAGAAGGAGAAGATATTATTAATTTAAAGATATTTTATAAAATCTTCTAATAAAAGAATTCTCTAATTTTATTTAGAATATATATATAGAAGCCTATATAGTCCTTAAAAAATTAGCCTTAATACTTTTAGAAGTAGGCTAGAGCCTATAAATTAACTTTATTAATAAGGATCTTAAATAATATACTCTATATAGATTAACTAATATTCTAGCTAATCTAGAGATTCCTAGCTTTCTAGCTATAGAACCTACTAAAAGTAATTCTATACTAGATAAATTAAAGAATTATTATAAAAATATAAAGAAGACTACTAAGATTATTATTAAGCTACTAAAGTAATCTAACTTAACTCTTATAGATAGTATATACTTTTATTAATAATTATAATCTCTTAATAAGAGAATTTAGTAAATTAACTAATATTTCTTTAGGTATAAGGAATATATTAAAAAAGTAAAAGAAGAGATCTAAAATATTAGTAGTAATAGTAGATCCTTTATATATATATTTCTCTTAAAGAAGGTTTTAATAACTTAGTAATAAAGTTAGAAAATTTAGTATCTAGTAGATTTAGCTTATATTTATTTATTTATAGAATAAGTAATAACTAGGTCCTAATCTTTTATTAGAAGATTTTAGCTTAGGGTTAAATTAGAATAATTATTCTTTAGTATAGAAAATAAGAAATCTACTTATCTAAAAATTTTCTTAGCTACTATTTCCTAACTTCTTAGTATCTTAATTATCCCTAATAATAATTCCTTTATCTCTATAGTAAAATATTATTTTTATCTTTATTACTATCTACTAATACTCTTTAAGAATTTAATATATAGTTAGATATATAGTCTTCCTTTAAGGTCTAAGCTAGCTAATTTATAATTAGACTAAGTTCTTCTATATCTTAATTTATTTATAATTATATTTTAAAAATAATATCTACTAAGATTATAGCCCTTACCTCTACTTAATCTACTATTATTCTATTAATACTTAAATAAGCCCCTGGATATAAAAAATAGTATTAAGTACTTTTTTATCTAATAAATATTAAGCTATATAATAACTTCTATACTTAGTAGAATAAAATATCTTATACTAAAGCCTATATAAAAGAGGGGATTAAACTAAGATATAGATTAAGTAGTTAAGTAGAAATATAGAATTATTTTATAAAGATTATAAGTATCCCTTCTAATAAATCCTTATATTATTATTAAGTTAATAGATATAGAACTCTACTTATTTATCTAAACTTCCTAAAAAAAAATTGGATAACTAATCTTTATATTTATATAAAGAAATATAATAGTTCTTATAATATCTATAAATTAGATAGGAATTTATAATAATATTTTATTACTAAGATTTAGCCCTTAATCTCTTATTATTAGATTCTATACTAATTATTAGAATTATATCTATACCCTAGAGAAATAGATTAATTAGGTCCTTTAATTTATTATTACTTATTAACTCCCCTTTTATATAGTTAACTATATCTAATTTAGATATATAATTTAAATAGTAAATCTAAATATATATATTCCTACTTATATAACTCTTATAGAGTAACTCTAAGAACTTACTTTTATTAGTTATTTAGAACTTATTATAAAACTTTTATTAAAGGATAAAATCTCCTTAGCTCTTAACTACTAAATAAGTCTTAACTATAAGTTATTTCTTACTATTACTACTTACTTTATTAATAAAAGCTTTAAATTTTAAGAAATACTTCTAGGATTTTATCTAATTAAGGATAAGTATATAGAAAACTATCTTACTAAAATAGTTATTAATATTCTTTCTTTTTATAATCTTTAATCTTATGTACTTACTATTACTACTAATAATATAAATAATAATATAAAGATAATAAAAGCATTACTAAATAAGATTAAGAAATTATTAATTAAACTTAAAAAAGAGCTAGGACTAAGTTCTTTTTAATAAATAACTTTTAATTTATAACTAATAAGTATACTCTAGTCACCTTCTTATTTAATAAAATAAATTATATAAAAGATCTAATATATATCCTACCTAGCTTATATTCTTTAGCTTATAGTAAGAGCTTTCCTAACTTAATTAAAAATTAAATTAAAAAATAATTAGATTAAAAAATAATTAAATAATAATCTATAGCTTTATAGCCTACCTAGCTTAAAATAATCTCTTAAGAAGATTTAATATCTAGAAATCTCTTATTATTAGATTTCTAATAATTTTTTCTTAATAGATTTAGAAGATTATAAAGTTTATAAATATAAGTCTATAATACTATAATAAGTTTATTTAAATTTAAACTAGTAAGGGTTAATAATCTTAAATATATCTTTTTCTATAAAACTATAAGATATAATAGAATTTAATATACTTAATACTTTACTATATACTAAAACTAAAAAAAGAGATAAATATCTTTATTAATACTTAGGAGAAGCCTATTAAGTATCTTTATCTTTTAGATACTAAGTAAAAGTATCTTAAATATCTTATTAAACTTCTCTATCTATTTTATATCTTTATAATAAATCTTTTAATATCAGGACCTAGTATATATAATATATATATAGTCTATAATATCTTATTTACTTATCTAAAAGATATAAATAAAAGATTAGAGAAGAAGAGGGACCCTTAGAAAAGATATCTTATTAAGATATTATAAATAGTCTTTACTAAGCTAAAGAAGTACTATAGCTATATATATTAGGAAGAAGGATATATATATACTATTATAATAATTCTTAATCTATTCTAGAAGCTATTAATCTTTTAGGATAGCTCTTAGGTAAAGAAGTAAATTAACTAATATAAGAAGTATTCTATAGTATTTAAAGATCTCTTTTATTATTATTATCTTTTATATCCTAATAATACTATCCCTTCTACCTAGCTAAAGTAAAAGAAAGGCCTATAGTAGGCTATCTTTAAGATCTAGAAATAGTAATAAAAATAGTTATCTTAGTTAGATTAACTTTATTTAGAATTAGAGATCTATCTCTAAGAAGGTATAATCTCCTAGCTTATTATTATTAAATCTAATATTAAAAGATTAGGTACTAAAGTCCCTAGGAATATAGATATTCTAGACTAGTAGTAATAGAATACTAGATAATTTCTAATACTAAGTTATATAGTATTAGACTTTCTAGCTATCCCTTCTAATAGTATTAATATTAAATAGCTTTTTAATAGTACTTAAGATATTTATTACTACTACTATACTTAATTATATATATCTATTATTAAGTTAACTATAATCTAGATATATACTAATAGATTTACTATTACCTAAGACTATACTAAGTTATATAATATCTCTAAGTCTAAGGAACTACTTTAGAACTAGGATCTATATTACTACTATAATTAATTAGTAGATAAGGTAGATAATATAATAAAAATAATATATATTAATAATAAAAAAAATTCTAATTTTCTTAATAATAATACTTTTACTTTTTTTTATAATATAGATAGTAATAGTAATACTAGATCTATAATTATATTACTACTCTCTAACTAAATTATATCTTAACTCTCTAAGCTAGTTATATTTTAACTCTTTAAGCTAGTTATATCTTAACCCTCTAAGCTAGTTATACTTTAACTCTCTAAGTAAGTTATATCTTAACTCTCTAAGCTAGTTATATTTTAACCCTCTAAGCTAGTTATACTTTAACCCTCTAAGTAAGTTATATCTTAACTCTCTAAGC